GGTGGCCGTATAGCCTGAGTTGGCGATCACGGATTGTGCAGATAACAGGGCTTGTGCCAGTCTCACGGTGCAACCGTTGGTTGGACACATGGTCCCGCCAACAGTACCCCATGATCTGGCGCAAGGACCTATTACAAAAGGCTTCAAGACGAGCCTCCAAGGCACAGGACAATGTCCAGGTTTCGCTACCATATAGCAAAACTGGCATTATCAGGGCCTTGAAAACCCGTAGCTTGGTCCTTCTGCACAGGTACCGACATCTCCAAATACTCTTGTTGAGAGAGTTCATGACCCCTTGTTGACTATACTAAGGTTAATATGCTGATTCAGTGGGAATCTTACGAGGTAACTGTAATAATACGCCCGCCGCTTCGACATCGACGATGATCGTGTAACGCTCTAGCCTGCCGGGAATACGTGGTGGAGGTTCTGTTTCCTCGGCGGGGGTTGGGGGGCGGTAACCCCCCAGGGGGGTCGCAGGGGGCGCAGCCCCCTTCAATGGAAAGTTATGTGAATAACCATAGTTATTTTCACTGTGTTATATTATTAGTGCTATATAAACCCGCATTTTCCCTGGAACCTTCCATGCCCTCCCCTGCTATCGGGGTCAAGTTTGTCGCTAACGGGGGTTTCCGCGCAATAAATACTATATATTTGCAATGTAGAGAGTGAGAGGACCAAGATTAGCAATTGTAACTGCGTTGTGGAATTCTTAAGAGGAAAATATCAATCAAAAATAACTGCAATTATATATTACGTGGTGCTAGGTGGTAGGCCTAATTCCAAATAAAAAGTAATACATACATACTACACACTTTTGCGAATAAAACAACAGAACTTGCTTATTTACTCACTTTTAGATGCAGCCTTAATATTCCCTTTCAGATCATTTGCGTATTTAATCACTATTTATTTGCACACAGTATCCGCGTCCACCCACTTCCGTTGTTCGATTCAGACTGGCCGCCAACCAGCGGGAGGGGGGGAGTAGGATGTATTAATCCGCCAAATACTTTTATACATTGTATGGGAATCAACACCCCTCGAGATAATGATAATTATGCGAAACAAGACTTTCCCCACTTCAGAGCGCTAGTAAACGCTGTAACGAGACTTAATTCTGATGAATCATCGGGGTACTACTTTGAGTCAAGGCGTTACTCGGTTCGGGAGCGTGAGATTTCACCACGCCCACTTTTTGGATATGTCACGTACGCACGTATGACGTCACGTACTCACATACTACGTCTCGTAGACACTCGCACCAACAACAATATAGTAAATGTGACCTTGAGAAACCTAGCGCTGCGGAACACGAGAAATTTGCTTGATAGGAAGCTTACTTCATCGCATCCTCAGATCGCTTCCTCTTCATGATTTTAAAGGTTCAGTAATGGACTGCACAATACACATAATGAATAACAAATACTGGGAGGAAAATATAAGCTACTGAGCGTTTCGTGGTATCATTAATTTTAGTTAAATTACCACATTCACTGGATATTGTGGTGTTAAAAATGCCACTTTCTGTCATCATCCTGTTAAACACACCGACAAACCATCAAATGCCAGCCATTTGTTATGACAAGAATCGTATGTAGATATTCAAAGAAACGCATAAATCACAAAGAGGTTATCCCAGAACAAAATGTGTTGTGCAAAACATAGCTGTAGTTACGAGATAATCAGCAGGTTTTAGCGAAATCAACACCGATCTGTGGCAATCCGTTGTATCAATAATTACCAGTCATTTTGGTTTGCAAAAGGTGAATGCGGTGGAAATACTCAACCACCCACTCGCTTTTAGCATTGACTCTTATCGTAGCTTTCTTGCCATTTCAACCTCTAGCTTGTAGTTTACTCGACTACGACTGAACTTGTCATGCATTCAACACGTGGTAACGGCAATATGCAATCCAGTGATTCCTTCCACAAGGCGATGAGTGTTTAATAAAATTCCATATTTTGAAGTCCAGGATATGGATCTTTTGTAATATGGCGTTTCTATCTTGTTTATTTCATATGTGTGTGTGTGACCCGTTTTATAGCCAATCTTTAATTGGAAATGGCGGTACTTGGTAGTCCCTACGACATAGGCGATAGTAACACAGATATTGTGAATGAATGCCAGGGCAGTAGGGGGGGGGGGAGAGTCCAGGGGTGCGGCAGGGAAAACACACACACATACAAACATGCATATATATATATAATATATATATATATATATATATATATATATATATATGTATGTGTGTGTGTGTGTGTG